ATTTATGATGCAAAGTCAAATTTAATCTTGATACATAGCACTGAACCCCATTTATTTCTGTTTTTGTATAAATTTAACCATCAAGATACATCATAAAGCTAAGCAATTATTTGAAGCACTTTTATTTTGGCATCACTTTTCAGATGGGGTGATCATGTTTGTTGTGTTTTTAACTTATGAAGTCTACGGTAACAGAACACTCACAGATTCACTTTCAGTAAGCAGTTCATCTTCCTGATAACAAAAGCCCTAAAAGCAGACTGTTGTATGCTCAGCACTGAACAGCAGACAGGTGAGGTCAGAGCCTGAACACGGCGCAACAATTAGCTGCTGAGGAGTCAAATATTTCCATAATTAGCTGGTGGCTACAAAGAACAGAGATGGGGGAAAAGAGCAGATGTTTAACTCAGAAATGAAAGAGATTTTTTTATTTTTTGCTGTACAATCAAATCTGGATTACCGACTGAGCAAAGAGGCCAACTGCAGGAGGCCCCTCAGAACCCCTTAGGCCCCAAGAGTCTCAGGATTGCTCCATATCATTTGGTTCATATAATCTCATTAGTTGCAAATTTGTTAAAATTTGCACCACTAATTAAAGCATTAATTTTAACAAGCCCTCTTGCTCGTGGCCTTGTCTTGTCAGAGGATCTAATTGTTTGCCTTTTTTTTTCTTTTTAACAAATCAAATGAGTGAACACAGAGAAGGTCTGATGAAGTTAAATATATCCATCACAGAGAGCTGCAGCACTGATCTTCTAAATCAGTCTTTTAGTGAGGGTCAGTGTTTTATACTAACACTGGCACAAGTAGTGAGCGTGTATCTGCTGAATGCTGGCGTGCAGATTCACCACAGAAACTTAGTGATGTCAGTGTTCACAACTTGTTACGCTGCTGATCCAAACGAGCTCCTGCCAGTTTTTGTGGTCAGAGCCAGGACGCTGTGATTTCTCTAATCATCTGTGCCGCCGAGTTTTTCATCGCAAGTCTTTGTCTGGAGACTTCGGGGAGCAGGACGCCCTCAGCGACTTGCATCATCTGCCGAGTGTCACAAAGCTGCAGCCACGATGGGCGTCTGTCCTGCCCCCTGTGCCCACCTGAGGGGTTTACAGTTGGCAGCCAGCACTCCTCACCTGACAGCCTTCCAGAAAAGCAACCATTTGGCTGCCAGCAGAAGTAACGTTTTATCCCCCCCACCCCTTTTTTCAGAGGTCTGCCCGAGTCAAGAGGAGGGAAGCTTGGCTCTTTGAGTGCTGGGCCCGTTCCCAGACACACTAGCAGCTCGAGCCACGGGGCCCTTTGCTTCTGGGCTCTCAATCAGTCACTCTAAACACAGCTCTGTGCTCTTTCCAACAGATAGACAGGGTTTCAATTTTATTAAACAGCTTCAAACGCAGTGCCTATGTTACTTGCTGCATCGTGTGCCTCTGTGTAGTTAAGTGGCGACAACACGCTGTCAATTCTGGTTTGGTGGGAGGACGGTTTCCTGAGAGGCCACATGTGCTGTAGATGAGCGAGACTCACGTTTGGTCTTAGTTTTCGCTGTGAAGCTGTTAATCACAGTGATTAAGAAATACAACTGAATGGATATGTTTTAAAAAATTAAAGCAAGAAAACAAAAGCTAAATTGCAGAATGTCTGCACAATGCAAAAACTTGTTTTAAAAACTATACTGCCTAACAAGAACCAGGATTATTTGCAGCAATTAAAAATGAGCAGAAGTGAAACATGTGTGTGTGTTTCACAAAAGCTACAGGATAAAAACATGACACACGCAGATGCAATTTTAAAAAACTGACATTGAACAATGTATGAGAAAAAAAGCAGCAAAGACGTTTGTCAAAAAAAATGTTTTATTTTCTTTCATGATTTCCAAATTGATGACTTGTGTTAAGTTTATGTTTTTCCCATTTTTTTTACAAGTTTGTTGTTTTGTAATTTGTTTTTTAAAATTCTATCTATTTCATTGCTGTTGATTGTTGCTTTGATTTAAGTTCTTGATCTTTTATGTTATATCATTTACACCTAACCCTGGCTGATTGATTAACACTACATTTTTTAATAATTCCGGACTATGAACAAGAAAATTTTTGTGTTTATTATTGCCTTTTCAACAAAGGAAGATCTTTACAGGTACACTTGGGTATAAGAGGAAGGGGTTTAGTTATTTTCTGCACTGATTTAATTCACCAACAACTGATGTTATTCTCATAGTTTTAATCATCCTCTCGGTGCCTGTAAGCTTCTGTCTGTTGCTGTATGTTTGTGAGTCACCTTCTGCTAATATTAAACCTACATAATGAGCAGTTGAGCGTGTCTTTCTGCAGGTGTGGCTGCTTTTCTTTTGATAAAGAAAAAAAAAGCAAACTGATTAGCAGGTCTAGGTAAGATCTGAGCAGCTTTCCCTGCCAGTGGCTGTGTGATTTAATCACACGGAGCCGGTCTCAGGGAGCCTGGTAATGAAGGGACAAGCTGGTGGATGCCTCCACCCCACCATGTCCTGCTACTCTGCCTCCATCAAGCAGCTCTGGAGCTCAGCCCAGTTCCCCGGGACAGGAGGTTGGGTGGAGCATGAGCGCGCACTTGTTTGCTGTCTTTAAATGCATCTTAATTATTATTACTAATATTATTTTTTTATGCCACTTGACAAGTCTAGGGAAAGCAGGAACTCGTGAGCATGACTCTGCAGCACAAAGTGACAGAGCAGTCGCCACAGGATACACACACCCACCAGCCACCCTTGACTGGAGTTAATACAGCAAAGAAACTCATTTACACGTTTTACTACCAAGCAGCTTTAATAGAGTAACAACAAAACTAAGGCAGCGGGCTCTGTAAATCAATAATGAGCCAAAACAACAAAGAAATTCCACAAATCTTCCTTTACAGCTGCACTGCACACCTCAATGAGGCCAAAATAAGCATTAAAGTCCCCTTTAAAATACTGTTGATGGCTTTTGGTTACAGGCAGTCCCTATTCCCATGCCTGACAATGGTCTTTTATGGCGAGGAACCTAATACAAGATTTCTGTTCTAGTGCAAACACAGTGGCCATAGGCACGGAGGAACAGCTGCCGTATAATTGAATTAACATTCGCCTTCTGCTCCAGCACTCAGCGCTGTGCTGAGAAGTCATACAAAACCTTCTACGAGCTCCATCAACCTGCCCATGAATATGCATGGTACCCGTGATAAATATGCACTCGGTGTCTAATGTTTGTGGAGTTGCCTACACAACGAATAAAGGGCTATATGCTGCAGACTGTCTTGGGGATTGACAGGGCGTATATCAAGTCGCTTGATCTATTTTAGTGCCACGGGGCCTTCGAGGCCCAGAGCAGGGATGTTGGAGAAGATTTAAGGTCTAACAGAGACATCTAGTGGATCTTTTAACTTTGACTCGAGGATTGCAGGTTAAAGCAAAACTCTAAATTCGGCAGTAAAGATTTATTTAGGGTGAAAAATAGAAGTGTTTTCTGATTTAGACTACAGTAAAACTGTATAAATACATACAGCACAGGCTCAGGTGGTAGAGCTGTTGCCTCTCAGCAAGAAGGTTGCAGAATCAAATCCTGGCCTGAGGACCTCTCTGGGTAGAGTTTGCATGTTCTCTCCATGCATGCATGGGGTTTTTTTTTCCAGGTACTCCAGTTTCTGACAGATGAAAGTCTGTTAGGCTAATTGGCAACTGAGAGTGTGAATGGTTGTTTGTCTCATTTGTCTCCATGGCCCTGTGATGGATCTCGCCCCTCGTACTGTAACTGCTGAACATCCACTCAAAAAACAGATATATTTGGATTTAATCAAACAAATGATGATAACGGCTGTGATGGACTTGCGACCTGACCAGAGTGTACCTCGCCCCTCGCACTGTGACTGCTGGATAAGGGCACTAGTGACACCCATGAATCTGAAAGGAAGAAGCGGGTATAGACAATGGATGGATGGATGGATGGATGGATGGATGGATGGATGGATGAAAAAGTTATGTCAAGTGTTTCCACTCAACTGAATTTTTGAAAATACCGCATTTACTTTGCATTGACTTTAAGTAATGTAAAGTAAATGTGCTACCTTTACTCACTTCAGTTGAGTGGAAACAGTTGACATTTTTTTATTAAATCCACATCTGTTTTTTTGAGTGACCCTGAAAGGAAGAAGCAGGTTAAGATGGATGGATAAAACTGTATATAAGACATTAATTAATTATTAATACAATTAAAATAGGTGGATTTATGGGACAACTAAATTTAAATTAATGTGGTGTACAAAGGAGATTATTTTAGATGTAAGAAAAACATGCGTTTCGTGTTTTTTTTTTAAATAGACAAGAATGATAAACAAAAAAATATTCAGGCTTCATGAGATTCTCTAATTACCACTCATGTGGTTCTTAATGGTGCATCAGTAGAAATATCCGGGAACTGTTTTAGGTGACAAATTGACTTTTGGCACTCATGTGAACTCACTTTAGGTCCATCAGAGAATGTATTTTCATCAGAAGCTCTGTGATATTTTTTGATTCGACTTTTATGTTTTATTAAGTCTCTTAACTTTACCTTCACCTGCTGGTTGGGAAATGTAACATGTAAAAACAGGAACAAACTCTTGGGGACTGTCAGGATGTGCAGCAGAATTGCTGGAGTAGCTCTACAAAACCTCTCTGACCTACACAAGGTCAGGTCAGAGACAAAGGTCAGACTGACTCTGGCAGACCCTGATCAGCTACTCCATGGTGAGTTCATGTCGCTTCTGTCCGGATGCAGGGATCTGTTGCTCAGATGTAAACCTGATCGACTAAATCAGACTTCTTAAGGACAATTTGTGTTTTTTTTCTACTGTTAGTGTTTTTATGTTTTCTGTAGTATGGATGTTTTTATGAATGGGGCCAGTAAAACTACTGAAGCTTTAACTTGAAAAGACACAAAACATACACTTTTGAAATCTGAAATGATTTACCTGTTAATTTCAACTTGAGCAGAAATAAAGACAGACACACGTGATCTGAGCCCTTTGAGTTCAGATTTATTGATACGGCTGTGCAGTCACAGAGCATGGTGGCACACACGGCCTCCTGGCCAGCATGGGACAGTGACGCACACACGCACGCACGCACGCACCCACACACACACACACACACACACACACACACACACACACACACACACACACANCACACACACACACACACACACACACACACACACACACACACACACACACACACACACACACATTCAGTAGCAATCATTCCGTTTCCTCCGAGATGTATTGGGCAAGCTGGAAGATACTTTCATTCATTGGTATTAAAATGTTTTTACTTTTTTTTTTTACTTGTGTACTGCATGTCTGCTACAGTTTTTTAAAGGCAAACACATCAGCTTGATGGGATGTTTAAAGTAAACAAAAAATACGGATCTAATTGGAGTTGTTCAGCCAGCCTCATGCACAAACACACATCTCATTTTCCAACAGAGCAGGTCACAGTGAGGAGATCAGAAATGCACATTAAATTGTTTTTTTACACACACTCTTTCACACACACACACACACACACACACAAACACACACTCACACATTTGACACCCATCTTTTCTCAGTCACAGGGACAGTTAAGATCATTCATGACAGAGAGATTCAGACTAAACAAGGAAACAAAACGTTAAACAGACCACAACGCTACACCATATTTAAAAGTCGGTAATACAGCTATGTTTTCTATTGTGGTCAGTATAAAGTCCTGGTAAATGTTCTGATAGCAGGCTATCACAGAAGCAAGTGTAGCGAACTACAAGACCGTACGTGTTGGTCTGTCGGTACAGAAAATAGACTCTGCTTCACCCAGTGCCAGGCAGCCTATTACAATTATGGTTTCAACTCTAATATTTAAAGTTCCTTGCAAGTTCTATGTACAGTTTTGAACCACTTTCTGATTGCAGAGCTGGTGGAGGAAAAACAGACACACAGGGAGATGAAATTAAAAAGGGGGGGGGGGCAATATTACAACAAAACAAATGCAACAAACAGCACAGAACAGCTAGAAAATAGACTTCTTCAAAAGAAAATAAGCTAAAAATACAATCAAATCTACTTTCAGAAAATACTATTTTCTGCAACGTGACTTTAAAAGCTGATAGTCTCTTAGAGCGTTATGTTTGAACGACATCACTAAAGTTCTTACAGGTGGAAGGTGGGACATGGAAAGTACAGATAGAGGCACACATTCAGCCAGCTGGCTTGCTAACCACTGACTGCATCATTTAGGTAGAAAGTAGCGTGTGGTTTCAGTGCATGAGAAAATGCTGTAACCTATCATGTTCCAGTTGGAGTAAAAAAAAAAAAAAAAAATTATATTACAAAAACAAAGTGGCTACAAAAGAATTTCCAACAATTTTATATTAAATTTATGAGTTTAAGCTCCCTAACACTCTAAATGTCGCCATATGTGGCAATTAGCTGAACATAGTTCAAAATAAGTTTTTGAATTCACCAAGAGCTTAATCTTGGCACAATAAAAGTTTGGATTTTCATACTAAAAAACAAACAGAAAAGTTTAAGGTTTAAGGGAAAATCATATCCATCAACATGCAAATACTGCCAAAATGCTTCTTTTCCTTCCTTTGATTTGTACATAACTAAGTAGACAGAGAAAGCTGAACCAGCATTTGGTGCAAATATGGTACATATGCAAAGAAAGCATCAATTACATTATCTCTACACAACATTACGAGCCTTATAAACCTGGCAAATAACCAAGAAGCGGGTACACTTTGGACTCACGGCCTCATATGCGTCACAGAAGCACAAAAAGTTCAGCTGGTTAGAAGGTGTACGAGCACATTGTAAACATGTTGATTCAAAATTACACCAGCAACCAAGAAGCTGAAGCTGCTTTGACCGGATTCATCAGCAGAGCAAATAAAAGAAATTCCTCTAATTAAGCAACAAGGTTAATTTTCTGCTACAGCTTAAAGACACGTTCGAAGGCATCAAGAAGAAGACATATAGAGTGACAGTGTGAGACACATGCAGTGCATAAATACTACAGGATGTAACAAATGCAAAACAAGAAAAGTATATTTACAAAAAACTTCAATGCATTTGTGTGAGTGATATGTTTAAATAGCAAAAAAAGCTGCTTTCTAATTTTTGGACTTTTCTAAATTTTTATCTTATATTACACCCCAAAAATATTTTTCTGTTCTGGAAAAGGGATGGACTTGTGCTCCACCTCAGATCCATTCACATTCAAACATTCATTATATACATTAGGTAGGACAAAAAAAAAAAACAGTGCAAACTATTTGCACCTGGCTGTAAGGAACAAATGCATTTGAAGTGCACAAAGTTTGAGGAAAGCAATGCAAACGTAAACACATCACAAATGTAAAAAAGATTTTGCTGCAACTTCATCAAACATCAGAAGCATGAGATGATATTTTTTTTCATTACCTGCTTCAAAATAGTTCTGAAGATCTATGAATTTAATCCAAACGTATTGTAAATATGCATTATAAACACATATACCTGCTGCAAAAGTCCCTCCAAATGTACATTTATCCTTCATTTTATGCAACTCATCATTTTGCAAATAAAGTTACCATAAAAAATCTAATTTAATATTATTCAAACTCATAATATGAAATGCTGCAGGATTTTTAAAACAGCTACATGTAGATGGTAAGTTAAAATAGATCAAAAGTAAAATATAGAAATATAGAAGGCAAACTAATTCAATACAAAACAGCAGTCTGCTGTAAGCTTCTCCTTTCTCCCCACTGGTGTTGTTTTAAGGTCATTTTATCTTCTGTCTAGATTTGATAAATCTGCAGCAGGGGAAGGAATAATGCACATAAATCTGCATACATGTGAAACAGGTGACAAACATGGTAAAAATAAAATGAGTGTAAGGAGAGACACAGTGAGGACAAGTGAAAGCAAAGGTGCCAGGGTTTTCAGTAGCCAGTAGAGGGCAGCACAGTCCAATAAAATGGCCTTCATTCTCGGTTCCCTACACAGGTTCAGGTCGACAGCAGCACAGTTAACAGTGTGGTTGTCATCATCCTCAGCTCTGCTATTCCATCACTTCCTCTGAGTTAGAGAAACAGGACATGAAACATATTCATTCATGAGATTCAGAAACAAAAAGGGATAATCTGTTATTATATCAATTATTACAAGATTTCCCCGAAATGATCTACAAAAAATTCTTGAACGTTCAGCAAGTGCTTTCTTCATGAAAATGTCAGCACATAGAAATATATTTAATTAATATCTAAGCTACAAAAGAGACATCTCAGTTGAATTTTCTGTCAGTAGTTGCAGACTGCAGTTTTAAACTCACCTCTAGTTTCTTTGTTCTTGTTTTTTTCACTGTCTGGAGAGTCAACCCCTTCTGACAATTCCCCTGAAAACAAGAAGAACAAGTTATTTCTCATACTGATGTAATATGCTTATTAAGAAAAATAAAAAACACAAAGATTGTGAGAATAAGACAGTCCAGTCCAAGGTAAATATTTACTGCAGAACCACATTTGTTTTGTCATTGCATAATAACTCAACTTTTGCACTGCTGTGCTTGATAAAAAAAACAAAAGAAAAACAGTCAAATGCACAAAGTTACACCCACACAGTGTACAAATAGAAAAAGATACACACAATCACACCCACACACTCCTTACAAGCACCTTTTCAGTCATGCTGTCTTGTTTCCAACAAGAAGCCTTAAATGTAAGATTAATAGTGTGAACTTCAAGTATTTCATTAAAGACATATAATGGCTCAAGTTGAGAGTGTCAGGAAAGGCAATGTTTGTATGGCAAGATTATATTTTACAGTAACTATATATTTTCTTCTTTGAAACGACAAATCTGAGAAAACAGAAACCTTCCTTTTGTTTTTGTTTTTCATTTCTGCAACTAGTTATTCATAAACCTAAATTTATTTTAGGATTACAGGTGCAACTAAATTGTTTATTGATCAACTAAAATATTTCCTTTTAAACAATATTTTTACTGTTTTAACCACTTTTTCTGTGAAGGCAAAACAATTACATTGACACAATCCTACAAAGATTGCATTTGAAAAGTGATTCGATAGAAAGAAGTACCGTTCTGCAGTTGGGGGTTGTGCTGCATCACGCCCCCGGGTGACGCTGCCTGCTCTGGTTCCTCTGTGTTACCATCTGGTGGTCTGCTGACCTCTGCTGACTTGGGCACTTCCCTGTCCAGTTTGTTCTCCTTCTGTTCGGGGTTTTCTGATTCTGTTTGAACCTCCTGGGGCTCCATAGCCTCCTCCTGCTGAGCTTGCTCTTCGGCTTCCTTTTTAGCTCTCTCCTCCGCCTCTGAGGTCACATAAAGCAGTGGGATTATTTAGAAAGTGTGACAGTTTGTCTCTATGCACATTAGTTCATAAAGTCTTACTTTGAGTAAGTTAGAGTTGATCAAACTTAGCATGTGTTAATCAGTTTGCAAACTCTCAAAGTATGATTTTCAAAGCGTAGTAGAGGGACTAACAGTTTTGGCCATTAGATGGCAGTCAAACATACTGTAAGCACATTGCACCTTTTAGTAAATGATATTTTTGTAACAAGGCATTGTTGTCACTTGAGGAAACATTATGAGTACGAGATGCTGCCTTCAAGTGTCATGAAGTTCATCTCTTTCTCTTCAAGCACTTAAAGATTATCACGACTTGAATGATTGACAGCCCAGAGAGTCATTATTCACCTTTGAGTTTCCATTATCAGTTAACCCGGGGGTGTCTATTCCTGGTCCTTGAAGGCCACTAACTTACATGATTTACAGGTTTCTCTGCTCCAACACACTTGATTTGAATGAATAGGTGATCAACAGGCTTCTGCAGAACTTGAAGAAGTAATTCAATCAGTCAATCAGGTGTCTCTGAGCAGGGAAAACGAGTAAAACGTGAAGGATAGCATCCCTCCAGGATCAGGATTGAACACCTCTGAGCTAACCTAAGAGTTACCTTTAAGCCATCAGTATTAGAAGGAAAGTGCAATTCATTCAAACTTATGTTTATTTCACTCTGTCAGCTGTTTGGCCTCAGTGAATTTGTGAGCTAAATGTTTGAATCATTTAAGCAGAAACAAGCGAAACAAAACAGTAAAGGTGACAGTGAACCTTTTTTATAAAACAGACCAAGAGCAGAAAAGTTTTCTTCTCTCTAATATACATTACAATCTATTTTGATAATTGTATTTTTCTAACACATCCCAACTGTCCTCATTACTGAGGGTTGTAACGTACCTTTAGCTGCCTGGGTTTTCCATCGCTCCCTGTTCTGGTACACTTCCTCGTTCCACAAAACCTTGAAGGTCTTCATGTCCACCGACAGGAGAGAGCTTTGGCCGGATGAGCTGCTGTCGGAGCTCTTGACACTGTGCCTCTTGGTTTCATCTGAGCTAATACTGTTCAAACTGGAAGGATTAAAAAATGAGACGGGATAAGGACCCTAAGCATGAGAAAACATTTACTCTAAAGTGTTTGCTATCTGCGACGATCTGAAAGTGTGTAACATTAATCTTTTTTATTTTTAACACCATGTTCCCTGTTGTTTTTGCATATGCTTGTGGTCTATTTGACCTTCAGAGTCTCATTTTTAAATGCATGTGAATGAAACAGAAAGAGAAGTGGACAGATAAAAGCAGACAGACTAGTTACAGATGACTGAAAGCAGCTTTAAATGCTTTTAATGAACCATCTAAGGAAATCCAAAAGCAGCCAGCTGTGGCAACACTCCCTGGGTTTTTTACACGTTGTTTGCTTTAACTGAAACTCCACTGAGTAATGCTAATGATGGCTGTTAAAAGAGAACAGCCAGGCTGATATTGATGTCCAGGTGCAAGCAAGGATGCAGAGGCAGACTGCTTTCGAGCTGTTTTATCACCCAATATAACATTCTTTTACTGTCGATTTCAGTGTACGTTAAATAATAGAAACACAACGCCAAATGCAAGGTTCTTTTCTTGTTTGGGAGCTTGCAAAACCTTCGCAGAGTTGATTTAATGCAAATCTATTGAGCCAACAAATTAAATCATTGGAGAAAAATAATATTTCTTTTTGTATCTCACTGAGATTCTCGTTGGCCAGTTTCAGTCTAAAGGCCAGTTCTGATCACAGACCATAATGTGAGCTTGACTTGTGTTTCTAAAATGTCGATTTCAAGGTGTGTGCCTCTGCTAAATGCAGGGTGGAGACATTTCCACGCACTGAAATGGATTACTCATGGACGACTCATCTGCTCTTCTCAATACTTCCATTAGACACGCTGTTGCTGCAAAGGAGCTGTTGTGGGTCAGTCGTGTCATTGAGCGAGCAGTGGGTCTGGGAGGTGAAGGTTTGAAATTACAGAGGTTTCCATGCTTGATTAACCATGCTGGTTGATAAAAAATGTGTTCATATTTATAGCGAAGTCCTTCCATCTGCTCAGCTCTGTGTTTTGTTTTACCCAAATGTTCTTCAAAAGTTTACCTTGAACGTCTAAAGCTGGAGAGAGCTGAGTGGGTGGCCTCGTCAATGAGTGGTGTGACGATGCGCTCCATCATGTCTGTGAGCACAGTGAAGGTGGGCACCACGATGAAGTCTATAAACCCTGGTGACAAAGAGAAAGGCATGACAATGTGTTAATGTGCTTACTGGCACAGACCAAAACGTGTGTAATGCATAGTAAAAAGATAAACAAAAATGTCAACAGATGTAATATTCTGCTGTGGAAAATGTAAATACCTCGTTTTGTTCAGAATCTGGCATTGCTCACTTAAAAGAGAAAAAATTGCGGAGGTGTTTTGCATAATTGCACACAATTTTGACCACCTTTCTTGTAAATTTCTTCCACTTGCAAAATGTTTGTCTCAAAAAAGCCTCAGTCGAGTATAAACTTTGAAACCTGCGGCTTGTGTAAAAATAATAAGAGCAGACGAAGAAGCCTCTCACCAATCTGGGATTGTGCGACCAGTGTGGACTTTCTGTCGCAGAGTGGGGAGAATGGCAGCCCAAGATCTGCTTCTTTGTCCCCCTGGAAACACAGCAATTTTCACAGTCAAAAATAAGAAAAGATCTTTGATTTGGATTCTATAAAAATGCACCAAACCCTATAGGCATACAAGCAAGTCATCAGACTTTGTGATTTGTCTGGGCCCTGCCAAAAGTCTGCAATTGTGTTTCATTTTCTCCTCCTATTTGTCACAAACAAATAGAATGGGAAGATGAGAGGCAATATTCTTTGGAGAAGCTATTTACTGGCAATTCACATCCCGGGAGACACAGGCCTTGTGAAAGCCACCACAATGACAATAAGCACTGATAATGAGAACAATGAGGATTAATAATGAAAGACATGAAAGCACTGTGGCAACATTTAGGCCTATGTCGCTCCCGATGACACAAATACACAATCTATTATTCATAGGCACATTTAGGTTTTATTAGAAAGGACATTGTAGGCTTTAATTTTCTGTGGTGCCTGCCATTTGTTTTTGAACAGCAGCATGAGTTGCATGTCTACAGAACTCACATACAAAGTACAAAGACAAGGAAGAGCAGGCTAAAGAAGGAGAATGCTTTTTTTTGCCAAGCTCAGTACACACTAAAGGAACACTGAATATAATAAAGTGACAAAGTCCTTGTTTGTGGACAGGTCACCTGGACAGGTGAGGTCATATCCCCCTTTTCAATTATGTAATTTGCAGAAGGCGTGACTCCAGTTCTGAAAGAAAGTGTTAAAACTACTGTGTTGTGAATGAAAGGTRCCCAATGCCAGTGACTCAAAGTCCTGAGTCCTTGGCCCAGCTGCAAAAGTTTGTGGTAATCCCTGCATGTGCAACTAAATACACAAGTCTAACTTTGAATCAATTCCTGCACATAATTTGGGCTCATATTTTTTTTCACCTAAATTTCCAAAAAATAAAAAACTGGAAGTGTTTTAAATCAAACATTCTACATGCATCTGAAGCAAACAGCCACTGAAATATAACTGAAAACATCAGGTGAACCCACTCACCTGTCTGAAGAACTCCTCGAGTAAGGAGGTGGTCCAGCGGTGGTGGAGGTCCCAACCTTTGGCTGGATGGCTGATGTCTGCGGTGTGCAGAAGGAGGGACAGAGCTTTGGGCTTGTCGATGCTAGAAAGGAAAACAGACGAGAAGGTGAGAGAGTTTTAACTTTTGTTCTTATCACCTGCTGCTGTGAGACAATGTGAATAATGTTTYTGCTTCTGTGTGTGTATTAGTGGTGTTATCAGTACCTGCATTTTATAAATACTCATATTTGTACAAAGTACTCCAATACCTACGACGGAGTATTAGGGCCACACAACAAGAATTTTTTAAAATTATTATTATGAGATTAAAGTTGTAATTTCATGAGAATAAAGTCATCATATTACGAGATTAAAGTTGTAATATTACAAAATTAAAGTCATAATTTAATGAGAGTAAAGTCATATTCCGAGATTAATCTCATTACTACTTTATTCTCATAATATTACGACTTTATTCTCATAATATTATGAAATTATTCTCATAATATTATGACTTTACTTTTATATGACTTTAATGTCGTGATATTATGACTTTATTCACATAATTAAAAAAAATTGCTGTGTGGCCCTAGTACTCCTTCGTAAATTCCCAGAACTGATAACGATAATAATATTGTCAAAAATTCTGAACAGAGCAGAAATGTAGCTACAAATAGCAGAAAGAAGTAAATATTTACAATACAACACAAAACAAAACAAAAAATGGTATCTGGATAGCATGAGCAAAAAAGAGTGATAAACAACCCATTATCTAAGTGCTAATAAATCAGATATCATGTTACTGAATAAGATCATGCAAAGTGTTTTTGACAAAGTTTAACCAAAACAACTACAACTTAGTCTAAAACTCTGGCATGAAAGGTTGTAGGCAATGTGTATCCCTTCAAAGAATGATAGGCTTCTTAAATATAGCAGCGTTTATCAAAGAGTGACGTGATGATGATGTGATTTGACTTCCGTTGACAACCATCACTATGATACTGGCTGAATTTACTCTATCAACAACACACTGGCAAAAAAATAAAGGCTGGATCTGAACTGAACACTTGCTTCTACACTGAAGATTTTTCAGGAGCTGAGGAGGAAAATAAAGTTGGCCAACATAATGGATAACTGGATTACTGCAAGTCCTCTGCACAACATATTGATGAAACTACAGAGTGTCTTTAGTCAGAGGCTCTGCTGCAATAAAGAACRGTTTATTTCTGGCCGTGACAACACCCATTAGAACAACTCTCTTTGCAAAGAATGGCTAAGAGACACAATGCATGTCTTGTTTTTTATTGACTCTTTTTTCCACTTTGTATTTCATTAAACACACTTCATTTATTTTTATTACATTTTCAGAAGTAGATGGCACACTGAACATGTTGCAGATAGTAGATAGTATACTTGTAAAAATACAATTTTGTTGGTTATTATGCAAAGTTGACTTTCTTGAGCTTTATATCAGGTTAAAATATCATTCTCTCATCAACACCATCCCCAGAGTGTTGCTTTGACTCATTCGTGCATGTTTGAGAAATCCTTGAATCTCCTGTGGTAGCCACGTGGAGCTGCCTAAACTCGTGCTGGTACAAAGCACCGCCTATTTACACAAAGCTCCTCCCTGGAGCTCAGTCTGCAGTTGAGCTCCCGCACCTCTTTTGAAGAAATGCTGTGAAAATGTGCTGAAGTGGGACTGTTGGAAACATGGCCAATTTCAAGGTGTTGAAATGAACAATGTGTCTGAAAAATGCACAATACACTCCCCTTTAAAACGTCAGCAGGGGAGCTTTCCCCAAATTTAACYACTGCAATTTTTTTGTATGTACCTGTGTGCGGATGTGTTCATTTATACCTTAGTAAAATATCTCATGAACCACAGGAGATATTTTATCACAAACTTGAGAAAGTAATCCTTGATAAACAACTACAAGTGATTACCCTTTCTAATCCTCTTGACTGAAAATTGATGTTTGCAAACACAAAAAATGACTATAACAAAAAACAATTTTATAGACGTTGAGCYAAAATGTAGTAGATTATTGCCGAAATATATTTGGAGTGTTAAAAATTATTGCATGAAATCTTTGTTTAAAATCTTGGTAAACAAGAAGGAACACGACTTTAAATAGGTATTTTGCTGATAGTTTGATAWTTTTAGGAGAATTTCTTAGTTAAACTTCCAAACAAAGGTAAACCATCTTTAATAACTAAAAGAATAGATTAGAATATATCAGATAGATTACCTAAAATTCTCATCTAAATGGCTGAGAATTTTAAAGACCAAATCATATACCTAATTTGTCATCTGATCCAATAATAAAAATTTCAATCAGGAAAACACAAAACCACTTTTTCAAACTAATCCTTTTTTAACAAATACACACAGACCCTGATGATCATATCTACATTAACGTGTGCACTGAAATGGCAACTCAAAATATAGGAGGATCCAAAAAGATGATCCCTTTATTCACTGACTCCATTAGTGTAATCAGCTCTTTACACTGGAACACGATGCATCATCCCACTTCATCTGAAAAAGTGTGAGGAATATCAGCCGATAACCATATCAAAATAGCTTGTTTAATAGAGCGGTGCATGACCAAAAAGCCACGGATGGATATAGAAAAAAGGCAGGCAAATGGGAAACACACACACGCATAGGGAAAAATCACACAAGGTTAAATGGAGGTGAGAACGACGGGCTCACATTTCTCCTCGTTTCATTTGTGGCAGATTGAGTCTTGAARTGCACTCAAAGCAGGCCTGCAGGAGACTGGTTGGAATTACTTCACATTAAGGTCCATTGAGAACTGCTGCTGCCTGCAGACAGCCATCTTTTATTTATGTGTATGTACTGTAGCGGGATGACTACCCTGAAGTCAGCATAATTTTTTTGTAATGTTTTTGACATTTTTTTTCACAAATCCAGGAAGTACAAATGCATTTTGTTTAATATATATTCCTAGGAAGYCACTTGTCACCACATTGGTGACTTCAAGCCGTTTTCAGACTRACAAGTGTTGAAGATTGTCACAATAAGAAAATGTACCCTGAGGGTCAACAAGTTCCTTGCAGCCCTTTTGTTGTCAGTGATGTAGCTGTGTACACTAGTGATGACTCATCATTTCATATAATAGTTAGCTTCATAGTTCTTTTTTTTTCTGTCCTTCAGCTGCAGTTCTTTGCTTACTGTGGTGGCTTCTGTTCTCTAAATGAGTGTAAAGGAAGTTCTGCTGGAAAGTACTCAAAGATACACAACCACGACTTATCTTAGGAACAACCGAGAAGGTGCACAGCAAAGAGAAGTGAAACAAAACTTCTAAAACCTCTATGCAAATTAAAAATATTTTTGTTTAGACTTGACAAGGTGATACTTTATCTTTGCAAAGCACACGTATTTACAATGCATTCTGTCCATCTAAAATAACGTGTAGAATCAGATAAAGAGAACTTTGTAAACATAAATAAATCGTGGCTAAAATGATAAACGGTATAGCGTTAATGTTTCAGGATATAAGAGAAAATGAAGCGTGCAGATCTGAAAACAGTCATAAACTAGTGAAAAAACTAATTAATCGAGTTAACTGATTAATTTTAGTACTGCATTGGCATAGATTAAAAATTTTAATCACGATTAAAATTTACAATCACTTTACTATGGCTGAATATGTAGGTTTGTATATTGCAATGCACTCAGTGCATGCCACGTCATGTTTGTAAATGAGAAGTGTTCTCAAACAGTTCATCTGATAAATAAAGGTTAAATAAATAATATTGAAAAAACTCCATGAGTAACACATTATGTACAGTTTTTTTGTCTTCTTATGACTTATTTTATCTTATTTGTTTAATAAATAAATAGTATTTAATTTTTTAAAAATTTTAAGTTTTATAGTAAGTTTGATTAACTGTGATTAATTCACAGCTACCTTGGAATTAATAGATTGAAAATTTTAATCATTTGACAGCCCTAAAAAAACACAAAGGGCTGTGGATGGCAACACCTAACACGTTAGAAGCTAATCTCAACAAAAATAGTGCTGGCTTTGCTTCTGTGCGTCAGAGGTGTGAATGGGTGAGGACTTGAATATGACCTTTGCAATGAGCCACACACTTACAGTACATACTGTGAGGCTCTTAAAGGATCGTTATGACCCAAAGTCTAAAGGTTAAATATGTGTCAAAATCAGACTGGGTTAAATATTATATTTCAGCATCAAAAATAGTATTCCTATGCCATAGATGCAAAAACCTCGAATCTGATATAACGCTTAGACCCTTTCAGTTTTTCAGTGTCTCTATCCTTGATTTGCACTTGAACAATTTAGATTGCAGAGCAGAAATTTTGCAATATCCTGTACATTCAGTACTTTGAGAACAACAAAAAATAAAAAATTACAAAAAAAAWGCTGTGTTTGTACCGGAGAGTGTCGTTAGGTATTTCTTGCTGCATACACACACTGTAAAATTAATGACCTTTGGTGCTCCTTGGCAGCAACATATTGATTTTAAGCCAACTGACCCCTCAGGCTGCTGCAGATAGTTCTTCATGGTTTTAACTTGCTGGAAGTGGCAGGACATATCTGTGGCCAGCACCATCTCGACCACCAGAGCCCGGAGTTCTCTGAATCAGGAGAAACAAAAGCAAAAGAAATTCTGCTCAAAAAAACTGCTAAACCTACAGGTACTAAAAGCTGCAATGTGAGCTGTAATATCTGCTCTCACAAGTGCAAGCTTATGGCATATGAGACAGCAGATGTAACAAGATGTTAAAATCTTAATATGATCTGAACCCTGGTTTCACTTTAGAGATATTTGTGTCACCGTGAGACTGTTCTGTTTGTCTGGATTCACGCCTGAAACATTTTCTGTTAAATTTTCTCAAGTTTTTATCCTATCTGCATTAATTTATTTCTAAGATTTTTCAGTGTCTTATCTGTTTGCTCATGTTTGTGTGTCAAAGACCTCCAGTCATCCTTGGAGAGGTTGTAGAGGATGTTCATTTCATCATCATCTTGCAGCAGGCGGTAGGCTGCGCTCACATGATGACTCTCCAACACCGAGCGATCATTGTACAGGATGGCTGTGTCTGACCTGCCAGATAGAGACAGAATCAATCTTTAATCAGTCTCTACTAATAAAAAGCTAATAAACCAAATATGGACTTCCTTTTGTTGTTAAACAGTACGTTTTAGTAGCCTTAATGCAAACTGATATTTTCCAACTGTTTTGTAAATCACTTGTCCTCTATTTTAATTATTTTCATCATTCAACCTTTAAAATACGCTGTTCTTAAAATAATGCAAACATTCTAAAATTGTCAAAATGAAAATAATCTATAACAAATGACTAGAAAACCTTTCAAAATTGAGAATAAAAAGAGCTCTAAAGTAAATTAAAATAAAGACAAATAAAGAAATTACTTCCCCCTCAACACAAAGGAATCTAGAGTATTATTTTAAAAAGTTAAAGTGTTTTTTTTTTATTCAAGGTTTTAAAAGTTTGGAGCTCATCTGCACATCCATCCCATTATTACTYCACTGCAGGCGATCACAGTGTGAATGTAAAGCCCCCTTGCTGAAAATGAAAACATTGATTGGGTGAGTCAGGGCCATGCATTTTTGATTTCATCATCCATTACCTTGTCTGGATGTGGAAGTTGTTTGTGGTCCCCGTGTGCTCGTAGTCGTGCACCGCAGCCGCAAAGATCATGGCAAAGATCTCAAGTTCAGTCAACCAGTGCTTGAGGGAAAGAAAGAAAAAAAAAAGAGGGGGGGAGAGTTAGAGAAGAACAGAGGGGTAAAAGATAAGAAGACAGAAGGGGGATTACAAAGGAGGGGGAAGGTATTAGACATAAAAAAGTCAGAGAAATTGACAGGAAAGGAGAAAAGGAATGTAATGAACACAGAAAAAAGAAAACAGACAAAGATCAGTCAAGAGAGATGAGATGCCAGTAAAGGAGAATACAGAGAACGCAACATTAAACCATAGAAGGATRTGGATATAAAAACACGCAAAGAAGAATTTGGCATCAGGAATGCATTAGAGTCAGGGATGAAGGGATATAAAAGAATGAGGAAGAGAGAGCAAAAGTAAGAAAGAAAACTCCAATTAAGACAAGCTCTATTGAAGAACAGATTTTAAGTCGTCTATCACCCACTTTCTCTTCCTGTCAGCCTGTCACTAACACAAAATATGAATGAAAGGGTCTCACTCTCTGTAATTCTGTTGGAAGGTAATACAGGGTATGCTCACTTTAGACTATGACAGACATCAAAACTAGATAAAAAGTAATATTATGATGCTTAGAAYTGATCAATCTTAATCCATAAAGGTGAAAAACTGAATGATGACAAACTGCACACATGCACAGTGAGGGGATTTAGCTCAGTCGATATTGGACTAATCAACACCTGGTGTTGTGAGGGAAACTMAGCAGCCTGTATTTCTTCATGGGCCAGCTTCTTTATGAATGACCTGTTGATTGTTGATTTACTGGAGTCTGGAGGGGCTTGTGAAATGATAGATTCTGTTCTGCTCTCTGTAGAGCCTGTGGTTGAGCCATTAATGTGGTTTACTCTGCGAGGCACAGCCCCAAGAAACACACCATGTCAACAGCTGTTGCAGCCACCTTATTAGGGTGATTAAATAAAAACAGTAGGAGTGGGGGCGGCCTCCTGGATGGCTAGCTGAACTCAGGCTAGAAGGATTTTTGAGAAATAAATGTATCACAAATGCCCCAAAGTCTCTCTCGTGAGAAAGAGAAAAATAAATGTTACTTTGTGCAAACAAAACAAAAAACATGAATTACATAACGTAAATAGTTTTTTTTAGATAATTACATTATAGTTAATACACATTTATTTATTTAATGGGAGGGTATTTTGCAAAATAGATTTTTTTAGCTTTATATTATGTTATAATGCCATTCTTTCATCAACAACATACCCAGAGTGTTGCTTTGACTCAGTTTGAGAGGTCCTTGACTCTCCTGTGTGCAGCCATGTGAAGCTGCCTAAGCACTTGCTGATACAAAGCACCACCTATTTACACAAAGCTCCTCCTCCTCAGTCCCCAGCCGAGCTCCACCCCACAGAGCACCCCTCCCACAGGCATCCCCCACACAGCTTTGCGGCAGAAACAATTAGCAAACACCTTGTTGAGCTTGTAATCTTTCTCAATCCAGTCCTTTTCGAATTAAAAAGTGTCTTCATCAAGGAAATGTAATTTGGATGGCAAATAGGAGACAACGTTCTTTTTGTGATTCCTAAGGATGGGACRGTTCATCAAAAATGGTTGGCCTTTTCTCCTACAAAAGGTTGTAAACAGCACGAAGCATTGTTGGGATGAAGTGCTGAAGAGGGAGTGTCAGAAATGGTAGGAGGTTCTTAAAGGGATTGAGGTCAATTTCAAGGCTTTTAAAAATGACTGTGACACAAAGTCTAATTTATTTTTGATGTATGCATCATCTTCATAACAACTGAAGGTAACAGGTATATCATGCAGTCTATAAAGCATACTTTCATTTAATAAACAACTAAAGAAATACTTCTTATTTGTCTTCTGCCTTCTATTGTGTTCTCAAAGATGGATATAAAAGTGTACAGAGTGTGTTTTTCTTCATTGAGTTGTTAGTTCATGGATTTTCTAGAAGACACATAAAGTCTTATTTAGATGCTGTATGTCAGGCAACGCGGCAATTAGGCTAGCATGCGTCAGCTGACAGAGATGTTTTGAATACCACGGGAGATTAAACACCCTCAGTTTTATAAACTAAGCTTCAATCTGGTGAGCCTTTGCCTTCTGTACTCAACCACCATATTCAACTTGTTTATGTAGAAGCAGAGAGATTAGGTAGAAATGATGTTATCTGAGCCTTGTGTGTATTCTACTCACCACCATGCCAGTCTTGAGGAGCAGGTAGTGTACAGTCTGTGTGACGTCAGCAGCGTGGATTAAGTTGTGGTATGGGTTTTTGTGTTTGCTGTAGCCAACTTCAAGGGCTTCCACAAATGACACTACTGCAGAGATTGGGATCTGACACCAGACAAAATGCAAAAKAATCTGGGAGTTAGAAATCAATGTGTACTGTTAAATATCTCAAAGCTAATTAATGTCTTAAATGATGTGATTTAAATGATGTCAAAGTCCTTTGGGTTGCTGCTGATTACATATTCATATCAGCTTTACTGCCTTTGCCATTTACTCCCTGATGCTACCAGTGGATTGTCCCCAGTGATTAGAATCTGTGAAAAGATGAGCTGCACAACTATCTGAGGAAATGAAGTGTGACTTAACCCTTTCAGAAAATGACTTTTGTTGGAAAAAAACCAACATAATCTCGGTCTGAAGGGACGGCAAAGCGTGTGCAAGCTTCCATCACATTGGACATGTTGAAGGTTCTTGTCAGCTGTGAAGGGTGTTACTTCCTCCTCCTTTTGATGGCTGAGAAAAAGTGCATCAATGAGCCATWTGCAGCGAGGTACATCCTTGTAACGTTACCTTGAAACGGCTAATGAGATCATATCTTGTGAGCAACTCGTAGAATATGAATTTAAGTGCGTGATCCCCGCTGGCTTCATTCAGGGCGAACACATCAAACGACCACTTGTCAACATTCTGTATAAAAGACAAGCAAATTCAAACAAAAACTTCTCAAGCACAAGCAGAAATAATATTAAGAACATTTGTAAAAATAGTGCTAAAACCTACCATATTTATTCATGTATAATACGATCTCATGTATAATTCGACCCCCCCCCACACTTTTTTTGAGCTTGAAAAGCATACAAAATTTAATCCTCAAACTACCTTCAGTTTCATACAGACCAAGATTTTTCAGCCTTAGCAGTCTTTATACATATCAGTAAAATGATCATTGGACTGTTCATTTTATTTTAACAACTTAGGTATTTTGACAACAAATATATATCAGCAAACTATGACTTTGAGCTATATAGCAGCATCATATGAATTCTGGCATTTTACACATAGTCCACCAGGATGCGCCAACACAAAATTCAGAGACTTCACATGAGATTTGGGCCATCTTCTGGGGGAAAAGCAGATTACTTCCTACTTGCGAGCGCCCCCTCTGGTGGGGAAATGTTTTTTCAGGGATACAAACTTTTTCAGAACACCGGTAGACGGCAGCCATTACAGACGAACATGTGTTTGTTGTTGTTCGAGGAGCGGCCCAGTCACACGCTAATGTCATTAGTTTGCTATCCTTCCTAAGGTGCAAGAATAATCCCCCCCCCCTTTTTTTCACATCATGTCACCTGCCTGGATCTGTTATTATCTCTCTCTGAAGAATGGAGGTGTCAGAGGTAAGCTTGCTTCAACTGCTTTTCACGAAGTGGTCTCATTTCCGGACTCCGGCATTTAGTGAATGAAGCCGATTCAGTTAAAATACATAAGTAAAAATATTTATCCGAGTATAGTACTACCCCCCAACTTTATGGATGATTTTATGGATTTAATTTTAGGTATTATACTTTAATAAACGCAGTAATTGTATTTGCATGTGTGCATGGTTTTTTTTTTTTTTTTGGCTTTCCTCTAAAGTGTGACATAATAATACCTTCAGCACAGATATGACAGACGCAGGGTAACTGAGTCCCACCATATTGGAGGTACGTCGGTACATCCTGTTTGGATGAGAAAAAAAACATCAAATGAAAAGCACCGCTGAGAGTAAAACACTAAAGGTTACAACACTGGCCCCAAACCACAGCCTGGAAGGTTCCCCACTAAGACTAAACCTTCAAATCAACACAACCCAGTGTGAAATGGGKTAGAAAGGTTAAGTTGTAACAAAATAAGGACTTCATGAAGTTTGTTTTATCACATGCTAAAGGTTGTGGCTTTAATCACACAATGGATTTTTTTTCCTCAATCACAGTTGGCAAAAAATACATATTAATAATAATAATAATAATAATAATAATAATAATAATAATAAAATCGAAAATGAACAACTTCCCAATAAATTTATGGAGTCACAATATTCACAGAATATGAAGCTCTTAAACTTTTGTGGAATACTGTGAAATATGATTGCAATATTGATGCAACAAAGTTCGAATGAATGATTTCAGCCGAGCAGAAGGAGATAATTTTAACTTTTAATAAGTCATGGACAGCTTGGACTGCAGCAGATTGTTCCACCTTATTTCCCTCATCCTCCCTTTTTCCAATCTTACTTCATTTTACAAGCAGAGTACCCTGTGCAAAAAAAAACAGATTAGGAAAGATTATAGCTTACATGGTTGAAGCTTACTGATATAAACAAATGCATGTTGCATGTTACTGCGTGATAAAGCACAGCCTTGGAGAAAAAAKCTGGCTGTTTGTTACTCTCTGAATGACTGTGATTAGCTAAGGCTTGCCAAGGCATGGTGATGTATCACCGACCCAGGTCGGCCCGCATTCTGCAGGAGTGGCACACATTTTTAAAACAGATTGAAATTCTTAATCAGTCTTTTTTTAAACAAAACACTACAGCATCAAACTTTGAGTCATTTTTCTCATTCTGAGCTGACTCCACTTTTAGGTCATTTTGGTGCACTCAGACTAATATAGGGGGCTTGTTATTATTGATAAAAAGCATTAAGACCTAAACAATGAACTGCAGAACTCATTTGTCTGTGAGTAAATTTGTTAGATAAATAGCATTAGATAAATAGCATAAAAAAGAAACATGTATAGAGAAATCAAAAATCTGTATTCCACTATGTTTTACCCTATCTTTAAATCAGGGGTTCTTAACCTTTTTGACCTCGAGGCCCAATTTGTTAAACATAAAGTGGCACGAAGCCCAGTCAGACATTACCAATGTATGGATCAAAAATGATAATTATTCTAAATCTTGGTTTATTTTTTATGTATTTACATCATAACTGAACCATCATAACTAATTTAACTAAATTAAATACACTTACAGTTTAAAAGTAAAACAATTATTTGAACAAATACAAAGGTCAGTTAACAGACCACTCAGGCTTATCAGCACAAAAAATTATATATTTTTAACACAAACAATAACAACTAGAACTGCAAAGCAGTTATGACCGGGGTCCAAGCCCTTTTATGCATGTCAGCCTTTGTCATGTTGTTTGTAGCATATTGTTGATCTTTTAGCTTCTTGGACAAATTTCTCTCCAACAAACGCAGTAAATAAATAAAATTTGAGAAGTTTATCAGAATAATTTGTTATATATCACATACTTTATGCTGTGAATACAGCATAAAGTATGTGATATAT